TCGATCTCGATTACTTTGCAACTCAAAAAACAATTTTTTCAATTTTAGTCCTTCATACTCTGTGAAACAAAAAACAAGAAGATGGCCATTGGATAGCCCTTGAAAAGCTCTACCAAGTGTCTATATTTAAAACGTTTCGTAACCATAATCGGTTGCGGAAGAATCTTTTTTCTTTTATCGACTGTCCTCGACATCAGCATTTACTAACTGTAGTTTTGGTGTAGTTAGAAAAACGTTTATAACTCGATCAAAATCAAACATTTTGAGATCGTATTTTCTTTATCTTAAAGTAAAATAATTTTTCTGTTATATCCGTACACAGAAAGTTCAATATATTCCTTTGTTTTCCTGTGTCACGAAGAAAAAGACCAAATTTGTCCTGTTTTTGTTAGATTTTAGTACAATCATGTTTTGTGCCAGAAAAACACGTTTAAACCGAACAGACGAAAAGAAAGACGACCCTTCAGAGCACCAGAACTTATGTTCATGATTCCACCTTTATGCATGACACCGTGCTCAAATATTTTTTTTCATTGTTTCTTGAATTGCAAAGTAATCGAGATTGAAGCTTCGCAGTGTTTCTTCGATATTCTTTCATCTTTACGGTATATAGAAAATGTTTAATATAGCTTTTGTAGAGAATTTTACGGCACATCTTTTAAGAAAACAACAAAGCTTATGGGATAAAATTCAACCAAGATATGAGCAAAATACTAAGTGACAGATTTATTCTGAAGCAATCGTTAGATTTAGCTCTCTTTCTATTCGTGAAGTATTATTCAAATGTGATATTATTAATCAAATTGTATAGCGTTCTATGATAAGCAGTTATTTAAAGCTCTGAGAAGGATGTAAGAATACATTCTTTGATTTCTTCTTCGATTGAGTGCTACCGTGTTTCTGCGCAATTCGTTCTTTATAATCATACTTACGCCTTTTTATTTTTTGTTGTTCTTTCTTTACATCTTCTTATCTAACTAGAGGTTTATAACTATGAATTTGATATTAGAATGCCGTTTTTGTTCTATCACGCGCCATGTAATTACTCTTTACTTGACGATTTCTAGGAGCTGTTCCTACAGATGTTTTGAATATGAACTATATTCAATTATTATATAATTACTGTATAACTTCTTTATAATCAGAACTTACGCTTTTTTATTTTTTGTTGTTCTTTCTTTACATCTTCTAATCTAACTAAAAGTCCATGACTGTGAATTTGATATTAGAATGCCGTTTTTGTTCTATCAAACGCCATGTAATTACACTCTTTACTTGACGATTTCTAGGAACTGTTCCTAGAAATGTTTTGAATATGAACAACTTATAGAAACTATAAGATTTAAACTCATTTTACTTCTCTTCAGATAAATAATTTTACTTCAAAAATATCTCTTGTATTTCTCTTAAGAAAAGTCTTTGTCCGAGACATATTTCGCCTCTTTCCTGATTATACGATATAATAACCATACAGGAAATTACTCTTCGTTCATATTACAGTTAGTAATTTTTTCGTATTAATCAAATTCCAAATTTTTTTGGAACATACCGTTTACAATGGCAAATTCGACCATTATCACTACTCCTAGTTCAGTTGTTCAACAACTCAATTTGTATATTCCAATAGTATTCATTTTCCTTGGCAGCATTGGTAACGTTCTAAATATTATTATATTTCGACAAAGATCATTGAGATCATTACCGTGTTCTATCTACTTTTTATCATCATCTATTGCCAATATATTTGTTATTTATTTTTCTCTACTTACACGTCTTTTAACGCAATATGCTGGTATACCAACCGATACGGGTTCAGATACATTTTGTAAAACAAAATATTATATTCTTTATTCATCGCGTACGCTCTCAGCATGGTTCATTGTTCTCGCAGCAATTGATCGATATGCGAGTTCAAGTCAAGATAATCGACGACGAAAATTTAGTCGATTATCTGTGGCATATTCATTAATTGGTATCATCAGTGGTTTCATATTCACTAACTACGTTCATATCCTCATCTATTTTAAATTAACCATGATCAGAAATCAATACAACAAAATTGTACCATCGTGTATTCTACAAGCAGGTTTGAATATTTACATGATCTTTTCTGATTTTTTCTTTTTAACATGGTATTGTCTATTACCACCTTTACTTATGACTATTTTTGGAATTTTAACAATTAAGAATGTTCGAACATCACAACGACGAATTGTGCCTAACAACAATTCAGCATTACAGCAACAAATAAAAAAGAATAATCAATTGGTAAAAATGCTTTTACTTCAAATATTAACATTTATTCCATTGACGTTACCATTTGACACGCAAATCTCTATATATGAAAATATTATCAATCATCATAATTTTCACTTCATAAAATCAAAAGGNTACTTCAAATATTAACATTTATTCCATTGACGTTACCATTAGCCATGCAAAAAATATATGCAGCATTAACAGTGAATTCAATTAAAAGTGTCGATACAATAGCTACAGATGATTTGAGTTCACAAACAATAGCTCTATTATCAAATGCTTATCATAGTATTAACTTTTATGTTTACACACTCTCAGCTAGAACATTTCGTCTGGAATTATTGAAAATCCTTCATTATCATTGTTGCCGTCATAACAACAATAATCATCATCGAACAAACACAATAAAACGTGAAAATAGCATGAAAACTGCATAAACAATCACATACTCATAGGTGTTCTCACATCTGTACAACAGTATTTATTCTATTTGTATGTATACTCTCTCGTACTAAATGCAGTTTATTCTTTCACTAGATCAATGTAATGTCTGCTGGATTAGTATCGGTTCTTCGACGTCTCCTGATCAGTTTATTTTGAGAGAGACGGGATTGGTGCAATACATTGAACACCTTGACTGTCATCATTACACCACTTATTTCCCTTTTTTTAATCGAACCTGAGGATATTCTGAATAATAGAATTAAACGTTTGAGCCAGGTCGATTAAAGAAAAGAAAGACTAGATCGAAGTGAATAACATGCAGATAGCGAAACTGTTTTAGAAGGAAGTACAGTCGATGATATAAAATTTATGTCTCTTTGGAATGGCCAGCTTATCGTAGTAAATGTATCACCTAGATCTTTATACTCACTCTTCAGTATGAGTCTAAAATTTTTCTAAAATAGATGTATTATTCGTTCGTAGGTATCATTTCACTGTTCTCCTAACACATGTTCTTTTTCCTTTCGTATACCGTACGTTTTTTCCTTCTTTAAATCCTATGGAGTACCTGTTGATACAAACACTTTCATCGTAAATCAGCAAAACATAAGCTTTCACTTTGTACTGTCAATCATAAATGTTTTGCAAAGAGTGCTGAGCTTTACATTCTAATGGGAACCTCACAAGTTAAAAACTCAGTTTTTGATGCTGAATCCGAAAAAAATATTCTCAGAAGCTTAAGGAAAGCGCGAAGCAAAATATAATGCATATTTTGGAAAGGATGTGTTTTTTGAAAAAACGACTTGCTTCCAGTTTTTCGTATTTTTCGACTTGAAAAAGGTATTTGCGTAAAGTAAAACGTTGTTTTCGTGATCAGCAGCTCACGCTCTATCAAGTGATGTAAAAAACGGCGAAAAAACTTTACTCGAAGTTTGAATTGCCTGCACCTTAGAATAAGCTAACGATTTTCCAAAAAAACACACGTTTTATAAATTTTTCCTATAAGATTTTTCAAAGGTTTTCTTAGTTTTCGAGAACTCATTTTTTTCTAGTTTTTGTGCAAAAATGTGTGAGAGCGTTGACCGATATTTACCATTAGTTGGTGACGAAGAGTTTTCTTCCTTTTCGGCGTGTGTACAGCTCGTTCTTTTGTGGAAAAGCCCTTTTTGTTTTTTTAGATGCTTTTTACCTTTTTTGTCGTTCACGCTAGTTACGCGGGCAGAAAAACAGAAAAAGAAATAAACAAACAAAAAAATCTATGCAAATCTAATCATAACTGATAGCACCAACGTAGAAAAAAAGAGCATATTAAACGAATAGTGAAAGAATGCGTAAGTGCACGAATTTTTGGCACTTAAATTCATTCAGAGAAGAATTGTTTTGTGAAAACAGCGCTCACATGCCAAGACAAACCCGCTTCCAAAAAAAAATCGGATTGAGCTTTCCAATATTTTTCGGGAAGATATTTCATTGTTCAATCACAATAAAAGGTAACCTTATACGATCTCCGTGATCTAATAGAAATATCAGTAATAATTACGATATCTAAATCTTTGATAAATAAACAAGGTTTGAACAGGATATCAATAGGCATGAAAAACGCGTCACTCTGCTACCGGAATCTCTGTACGTTACCGTTTTTTCTCTTTTCGTCTATCCTATAATTTTCGGAAAGAATATCGTAGAATCCTGGAAAGCGTCTTGTTTTGTAGAATGAAGTGCGTTCT